AATCAATCGTAAAATAATTTGGATACATCAATGTCCGTGTATTTGTTTTGATTGGTGTTACGATTTACCGAACAAAATTTATGATCACTTTAACTCTAGTAATATTTTGTCCAAATACACCACGAAATCTTTTTGTTGTGATAGTTTTCGTCGATATTATTCTGTAAATATATACCAGTAAGCTCTCCATTCATTTTATAATTTTATTAGATAAAATCGTCAGTTATCTGATGACAATTTGAATCGGAGACTGATATTTTTTAAAATCAGGGATTTCCTGGTAAAGCTGTCCTATGAAATGTACATCGATTTATTGAGAACATTGTCAGGACAGTTACAGATATGATATTGTGGAATATAAGAATATTCAATAATAGCTGTATGTTGCCAATTACACCCGCAATTCCCTTTCAATCGATATATTATGAGCTGTTGTCATTACATCTCAATACTAGTGCGTTTTATTCATGTCCCATAAAAAGCTATATATTTTATTCACCAGGGATTATGAAAAGCATAAAATTTTTAATTTATTTTTGAAAATTTGTATTAAGTGTGCCGAAGCTCTTAACATATGTTAAACAAGAACCTTTAAATTCATCTTTTAAACTAAATCTTGCCATCATATATATATATATATATATATATATATATATCACTAAAGCAATCCATTTACTTGATAAATTATACCGTGTACATATATAGAATATATATACTTTTTTTCAACTGAATGGATTATTTCAACGGTAAAATTGCTTAAGGCTATTAGAAAAGTGTGATTTTCTCACTTAAGATTTTATGTCTCTTGTCTTATAACTTTTACAACCTAAACACCACAAGCATACTGTTAGATAACATCCATTTTCCATCTCCACTTTTCCGTTAAACAACATTTTGACTCCATACACAAGTTAAATCAGCTTAAAACATTACAAATAAATCAGTATTATATATATTGAGGGATTAATGAACATTGACTAAACGTACCACTAAATTGTATATACGTATATATATATATACAATTTCGTGGTACGTTTCGTCAATGTTCATTAATCCCTCAATATATATAATACTGATTTATTTGTAATGTTTTAAGCTGATTTAACTTGTGTATGGAGTCAAAATGTTGTTTAACGGAAAAGTGGAGATGGAAAATGGATGTTATCTAACAGTATGCTTGTGGTGTTTAGGTTGTAAAAGTTATAAGACAAGAGACATAAAATCTTAAGTGAGAAAATCACACTTTTCTAATAGCCTTAAGCAATTTTACCGTTGAAATAATCCATTCAGTTGAAAAAAAGTATATATATTCTATATATGTACACGGTATAATTTATCAAGTAAATGGATTGCTTTAGTGATATATATATATATATATATATATATATATGATGGCAAGATTTAGTTTAAAAGATGAATTTAAAGGTTCTTGTTTAACATATGTTAAGAGCTTCGGCACACTTAATACAAATTTTCAAAAATAAATTAAAAATTTTATGCTTTTCATAATCCCTGGTGAATAAAATATATAGCTTTTTATGGGACATGAATAAAACGCACTAGTATTGAGATGTAATGACAACAGCTCATAATATATCGATTGAAAGGGAATTGCGGGTGTAATTGGCAACATACAGCTATTATTGAATATTCTTATATTCCACAATATCATATCTGTAACTGTCCTGACAATGTTCTCAATAAATCGATGTACATTTCATAGGACAGCTTTACCAGGAAATCCCTGATTTTAAAAAATATCAGTCTCCGATTCAAATTGTCATCAGATAACTGACGATTTTATCTAATAAAATTATAAAATGAATGGAGAGCTTACTGGTATATATTTACAGAATAATATCGACGAAAACTATCACAACAAAAAGATTTCGTGGTGTATTTGGACAAAATATTACTAGAGTTAAAGTGATCATAAATTTTGTTCGGTAAATCGTAACACCAATCAAAACAAATACACGGACATTGATGTATCCAAATTATTTTACGATTGATTGCATAATGTATAGTTTTACCGTTTATATATAGAATCTAAGTAAATAACTTAGTGAGAATGTTTCAATTAAGTTAAAGTTTGTTTAATTTTCTAAAAAAATATTTACCAAGTTTGTTTTTCATTGTCAGAATTTTAGGCAAGAATAATGATTATTGATATGATATTGACATGGAAATTGCTAGTTAAACGTAGTTAAATGATCTCATGGGAATTGTTTGTCGCCTTCAATTCATGTATAAATTGCTCATTTTAGTTTGAAGAAAAATGAAATTAATTTCAGTCTAAAATCACGTTAAGTATGCGCCTACCTTAAATAAAAAGTACCAATCTAGAAGATAAGAAGAGCATTAAAAATGACATTTGTGACTTTGGCTTTCTAAAAATAATTACTGAAAACTTTTAATGAGTTTAGTAAGAATTTTTCCAAAGTTTTGCTCCCAGATAATAGTGGTTTTGTTTTTGCAAACTATATATATTATTTATAAATAGGTTGAATAATACATATTTGTAAGGCGTCAAATAAACTGTCTTTCAGTTAATGTACACAGACTAAAGTGTAACTGAAATAAATCTATCAATCAGTGATGCTGAAAGAAGTGGTTCCCGCTCCTAAATATTTTTAATTTAGAATGAATTTTGTTGTGTCAATGACTTCTTGATTATATAATGGTATTGCTTATTCTGTAAGTCTGTGATTTCTACCTCACATAGAGTATATTCTAAGTAGCAAAAGTTATGGTAATCAATTAAGAACAATCTACCTCGGTTTTATATGTATTTCGGATTGACGGGGCATTACTTTGGAATCGTCAACTGGATATACCACGTTTTTTTTTATCCTAAGCGTCTGTAGCCTAAAGTAGCATGCTTTTATAGACTGAGGTATTGCATCATGATTACTAATAAAGTGTATCTAACATAATGTGTACATCAACCGTTAAATGCAGAAACATATAACTCATGTCTACTGCGTGTGACAAGACTCATCCTACGGGTGCCACTAGATTACAATATCGAAAACATAATGAATTTTGAACAGTTATTTATCACGTTAAAGAGCAGGTACTTATTTTTACTGAATTTTCATTAGTAAACACCAACAAGTGGAACATGGAGCTCACAATCTCAGAGTTTAATCACACAAATCTTGTTCCACTGATTGTTTGTGGGTTAGATAGATTTGCAAGAACATATCTCAGTTAAGTGCTTGCTGATCAAACAGCTGTCATTCTTTTGTTTATCGGTCGTTGTCTATTATGGTTTTAGCTAGTTCAAGCTTATGGTGAATGCCTTTGACTAAGAAAACAATATTGTCGATCACATTATAACTATAATACTGCTTAGTTTAAATATTTACATCAGCATTTAGTTTTAAATTATAAACAAGCCATTTTTGTTTCAAAATATTAATAAATTTATTCGCGGACTGTGAGAATTATTCTGACACTAAAATGTACACATCAAATAATTTTCAAGTATATAAAAAAAATCAACTGAAATTCATAAAAATGATTCATATTTCGACATTAAGAACATGTATAATGACTGCTGTAGCGATCATTAAGTATCATCATCATGCGGTTGTGAAAGCTGCTTACACTGATAGTTGTTTACGGATCTATGTGAAATGTATTTTTTAATTTTTGTCTGAGTACTTTCTTATACCGAGGTCAGCTATTAGTACCATAATTACATTTTGTTCAAGTGTATTTCAATGAAAATTAATTTTTAATATTGAAGGTTGGCTAATTTTAGAACTGTTATGTATAAATGCATATTGATTTCTGCACAGGCCTACAACAAATCAATAACATTTTGAAAAGAGTTACTTACTGGTTATAAATTCAACTATTTATGATAATATTTGCTTGTAAATTATTAGATACTCGTGTTACATGTTTTATTTTACTGTGCATTCAATGTTGCAATGAAGTGAACTTTTAGAATTTCACATAAAATATTACTCATTTAAGTGGATCATGTAATTATGTTTGTGTGTGTTCATGATTAGGTTTTTTTTGATTTTCTAATATGAAGACAAATCACAAACTTATGACAGTACGTATCAAAACACCACTACGTTTTGGAAACTTTGTGACTAAGCTATTGCTAGTACATACAAATAAACAAAATCTGGTCAATTTATGCAGTACTTAAGTTTAATGACTTTCAAGGAGAAGGCGATAAATATAATTAGTATAAAACTGAGTTTCGAACTGTAACTTCATTGTTTTTCGTCAAACTCTTCCACTCGGTTATGATGTCCGTATATTTTGATTTCGAAGTGCTATTACCTTTCCCTTATATTTGATAGTCTTCAGATTTCCTGTTCTACACTGTTTATCGATGAGTAAGAACTGTAACTGAACTTTGAATCGATATTCAAATACACAACCGTTCTACATATTTTTTTGGCTGATCTCATTATTGATAATGAATCCTTCATTATGGTAGCAGCTGATCGTTTATTCTAAAAATTATGAGACCTTTAACAAGAAAGACATTTTAGACAGCAGAACTATTTAATTTATTGAATTATGAATTCAACAAAGCTATATGTCACTATGATATTAAAAGTCTTGTCAAGCATCTGTGTTAAGTGTTTTTTTTTTAATAGGAAACTTTATGTTCTACTTCAATATGCCAAATTCAAGAATGACTCAAAAACTAAAGTTGTCTGACTTCAACTGACAATTTCAACTGCTTTTTATGGAAGAAGTCTGTTATTTGCACCTCTAAGCCAAACAAAAACACCTGTTACATACATTCTGACACGAATGAAACAATCGTTATTGCTGTCAGTGATTGGTTTCATGAAATAATATACAAAGCTGAATGTTTTTTGTTGTGAAACTTTCATTATTCTTCTGAAAAACATCATCAGCACAAACTTCAGATAACGAAACACCATCACAATTATCCACATGAGCTAAAATTTTCTCCACCATCTCAAAATACAAAGCTGATTTCATCTAAAATACTTCAAATGTCTTTAGCTCATGATATTGATTTCTTTATGTTTTTAGATGCTCAGAGGTAATTTAAAATAAGATTATTCATGAGTCAAAATAGAGAATTTCATGTAATGTCATCATTACCGTTCTTTTGTTTTTATCAAAAATTGACAGCATCCTGTTTGTTGTGGATAATTCGGTAGAAAATAGACTGATTACTACTATTATGAACTTAAAAGAATTTTTTGAATCGTATATTAGTTGATTTCCTAGATCGGCATTTTAACAACTAATAGGAATCAATGATGCTGCCAATCGTGTATATATATTATAAATATTGAACAAAATATAGCGCGAAATCAAATGCCTGATTATTAAATCATGAGAATACAATATTTAAATAATCTGACAAAAAATATAGATTATTGTCAAATCAAATCATAATAATTAGATCATCTGTTAAAACAATAAACTCTCTTTGGAATTAAATAGTCTATTAAAACTCCATAGATTGCATATCTTTAATCTCTTTACCTGATACAATTTACAAACTTTTAAGGTTATGATATAACTTTGAAGAAAAAAATTTCCTTGATAATTTTTGTTACTAAATATGTAATCGACTTGATTCGATTTTCGAGCCCCAATATTTGATGATCGTCATTGAAATATCTGAAGTCAATTCACCATTACAGTTTAAAATATATCACAATCATAAGTAAATGCTAAGAAACTCTAACATCTATTGACAGTTGAACTAGAGGTGGAGTGATCATCTACCGATTCAAATGAACATTATTAACACTACATCACTAAATGAATAGTATAGTAAAATCCTCGGTAGCTAGTTTGAATTTTCGGAGTGGGAGTCATACTTATATGTCAAGAAATCTCGTAATTTTTTGTTTGAATATACGGCTGCATTGATAAGGAGTTTTTAACTGGAGAGATAAAGTTAAATGGCGATCTCTTGTTTTTATTGATCTACTGGTTTATTTAAATTCCAGATGAATACTTTATTCGAAACAGTAATTAATACTATTCGTAACAAATACTGTAGCTATCACACACAAGAACTTTACTTTATTACCTACTGAATTTTGCTCACAACATCATGGATAAAATATAGAAATTTGTAGATTTTATCTATTCCTTGTATAAGTATACAAATATTAATTTCATAAACCTGGTAAAAAAACAAATACTGAATCATTGCTGAAAGAAATAGCACCAGAAATAATCGTGTTTACAAAATATTCAAATAAGACAAATAACCGACTACATAAAAATTGTGGTTTTCTTCTAAATGAACTTAAATTTAAACGGTAGCTTCTCTTTGAATGTTTCAGTGTTTAACTAGAATTAAAAAAATATTTCAACTCACGTAGTCAGTAATTGTAATGTACATCCTTGGAAATTTTAGATGGGTTTATTATTCTAAGTGCGTTACTGGTTAGTACACGTTATACTTCATTTTAAATAAATGACATCTTTTTCCAAACTTTTTCCAAAGATATAAATGATTTGAATTTGAGGCTCAGATACACATAACGATTTCCGGAAATGCTGATCTCACAATTATTTTTGTTAATTGATAACTTACACGTTTTCTACCTATAAATATGTACACTCCAGCCTGAAATAAAGTAAAAAATTTCGAGGCATTTGTGAGACTGAAAAATTATTAAATAACTTTGAGAATTCCAATACCTGTAGATTTGTCAGTCTTCACATAGGAATAAACTTGCACATTTTTGTTTACAGTGAAAAGGATGTGTCATTCTAGGATTTATTCGATTTCTGCAACAGTGAGCCTAACAATTATTTGTTCAAACCAAATTTTTTCAAAACAATTTATGTGATTAATTAATGGATTAGTACATTTAAAGTAGAATATTGTTCATGATTTTGCAACAAGATCCTAATGAACTTGAATGTAATTTGGATTTTGTTTAACTAATTCGCATCAGACACTTCTTCATTGTTATTGCTGATTAAACTACCAATTTATATCTATCTATATTTTACCCCAGCAAATCAATTGCAAAATCAACGAATTAACTTTCGTACGAAAAGAAAAAATTCTTCTGATTAGATTTTTTTGTATAATCATTCCAAATTTTTAGTTTATCCCTTTCTTACGTCTCATTTTTTCTTGGTCGATTTTCTACAGACACTTATAGTCACTTGTATTTGCCTTCTCGATTTAATTATCATCCTAAAAATATTCGACAAGAAGTGAGTTTTTTTTTAACCCATTTTTGTTTGATTTACTACACACAGTAGGAGGTCTACTATTCATCGAAAATATTGTTTGTTTTTTTCCAACTCACTTGCTATTAGATGTAGCAATATAAATGAGTTGTAGATTTTTACTCAGTAAGGAAGTCAAAACCACTCATTAGGCGTAATCATTAAATAATATATTTTTTCTTCCTCTTTTCTAAAAATAGTTTACCGTAAGATAAATATATCTACAATTTCATTAGACTCGTATTTCATGTTGTCCAAACTAGTTCGTCTTTCTTTTATATATATATATATATATATATATATATATATATATATATGTTCTCAGATTTTTAAGGTCAGCACCAAAATAAATAGATTCAAATAGAAGTAATTATCTCTCAAATCGTTCGTTCAATGAGATTAGAATTTAGTTTTATTTTTTTTCGCTTAAGAAAACAGTCATTCATTCATTTTTTTAGTAAATCTAAGGTTAAAGGTTATACCAGTCAATGTATTCAATTGGTTTTCTAAACATGAGTAGATAAGTAAACTCTGTGGCACACCTAAAGGTCAGTAAAGTTTGGTGAGGCATGCCGTTCTATTAAAAAAAAACGCTCACCTTAAAAAAAAGTTTATTCATTATTTGATGATTTTATCTCTTCTTTTTTCTCTTTAAATCAGATCGAGGAAATTGTGAAGAACGTGATGAAATCTCCAGTTCAACTTCGAGATAAATGCAGTCAATTATCACCGGGATTCTTATATTATGACGAAGTAAGCTTATGCAATGTATATCATAAAATGCAGTGTGACTAATACTTGCACTGAAATGTTCGTTTACTGTCAAATAATATTTTGTGATTAAATGCACGTATATTATGAATATGACAGTTTTTTTTGAAAGCGTATCACTTTCCAGTAGAACGAATGAGTAGTAGTTAGCTTTCGGTTTTCTTGTTTAGATTCATTATTTGAATAGGTTGATTGTGAATGAAAATTATACTAAAAACCTGTAATTTGATTACAGTATTTGCTTGTTATGATACGTTTGAAAAATAACTAACCATTAAAACAGTAGTTAACCACATTCGAATATTTTGAACTGTGTAAATCCGAGGTTAGTAGATGGATCGCTTCTTTAAGACTGATTAACTGGTGACTTTAAATTTTCAGCCGAATTCCAGATTTCTGATTCCTACTTAAGGTACAACAACTCAGGAACTCTGTTTACAGAGTAAGCTGAAAATCGAAATATTAACTTAATAAAATTGAATAGCAACTTGATTGAATTAATACAACAAAAACGACGAGACCAAATCCCTAAAAATCGGAAATTCTAATGGGAAGAATTAGCTTATGCACGTTCGACTTATTCCAGTGCATTTAGATATCTTAATTAAATTAATGTCAACATTCAGTAAACTTAATCAGAGTTTGAAAAAAGTGATGGACACATGTTTACCTTTGTGTACTCTTTTCATCAGTAAGCATTTATGATGAGTAAGGTAGCGTCTAACTTCAGAGTTTTGAATTTTTCTTTCAAAAATCTTCATGAAATTTTATCAGTACAAAGCGGAACTATAATAATGTGGTTGTTCTACTAAGTGGTTTTTGTCATTCCCAAGTTTGATATATATATATATATATATATATATATATATATATATATCAGTTTTCTTCACAAATTAACACCAAGTAAAAAGAATTTTAGATTTAGGGATTATGAGGAATTATTTTAGTCCTAATTTAGCACATTCCAACAACTGTTCTATCAATCATGTGATCACTTATTACTAGTCTTGAGAATAACTAGTGAATCTAATGCAAACAGACTTTAACTCAAGGGTGTAACAGCTGTCACCGACATCATATAATGTTCATTCATATCCATTATGTAGTGTGTAGATTTTTTGCTCCGAACCTTTGGATCTCAGTCTAATGGAATGATCTCAGCAATGATGGTGAACATTCTGTTTGACAGAAACTACTGAAAAGTCTATTTCTAGGAAGCAACAATTCTATACTGCTTCTTCATTTCCATCAGTTTTCAACAAGGGTTATTCTATGTTAGTTAATCTGCTTACTTCATTTATCTATTGATGTTTATAGTCATTTAACTTGAGTGACGAGACGTTTTGTCTCATTAATTTTTATCTGACGGAGTAACGCTTACCGTCTACGGAAACTTAGGTGATAACCAAACTAATCAATACAGTCCCATAGAATAAAAGTGATACAATTTGAGCAACACATAAAATGCTGAACTTCTAAAATTAGAACAAAAACTAAAACCATAAGTCATTAGGATTTATTTTAGTTATTAAAAGTAAATTTGAGTATAATCTAGCAGGAATGCTCTATTTATTTAACTCCATTATTGTTGTTTGAAATATTTGAGTAATATGTTTTGCAGTCGTCTCATTGAAACTTATTCCTTCATTGATCTTTTGACAGTGTGAACAAGCTTGTGATTCAGACCGATTTTATGGTGACTGCATAAAAATGTGCGAGGTATGTACTTTAAATATATTCATATCTGTGATATTTGAAAATTTTTTATTCCTTTGAATGCTGTTTCCAACATTTGTTCATGATAATTTATTCCAATTTCATTTGGTCAACAGAATGTTCCATTTATAGGGTTTTTTTCCTCAGTAAATAAGCGATTATCGTTAATATTTCTATTTTTCCTCATATTCTATTTTAAACCAACTGATTTCATTTACGTTTTGAAAACTACATTTAAAATACTGAAATTTATTGATTTTTATAATTCTTCTTTACAATTACATGTTTCATCTTTCCTATTGTAAAGATTTAGTATGATGAATCATAGAATAATACAGGTATACATAGAGTGAGTATACCGTCTTTATAACATGCTATCCCAACCTTGATATTATTAACCATGAAAGAAAAAGCTCATTTGATGTTGTTGTTATGAACAAGCCAGCGACTGTTTTCCAACATCAGTTCTGACTGTAGTTGAATTCATAAACTATGAACTCAGTTGTATTAATAAAAGAGAACTGTTTGATTTCAGGGCCATTCATGAATAAGAAGCCTATTGAAGTGAATGTAGTAATTTCATTGTAAACAAGGAATCGAATCACAACAGGCATATCTTCATACTGGACGATGATTTCGCTTCGTCTTTATGAATTTCAATACTATTGTAATAATTGAGAGGACCGTTCCTTCAGAGGAAGAATAATTTTAGGTTGTTAAGACTGGAATGAATACTGCTTTCTTTTTTCTCGCCCACTATACACTGACTGTCGCCTTAGTAGAAATTGTAAATTAGTGTGGATTCTACGTAGCATTCCATTTCATATTATGAACCTTTGTGAAAATGAAAGTATTATTAAAACATTTAAGGTTTGATTAGTTAAGTGAATTAGTGATAATTATATCTACATGAATGATTTCACGCATAACATCTATTATGCAGCACTGCTAGTTGAGCTGGAACGAAACGCCACCACCATCATCACTAGGTAAGCTTGAAGCTATTACAAGTTCACCTTAGTCGATAAACAAGAACGAGACAATGAACCAGCGTCCAAGAAGGCTACCTTGATATCAGAACTGAAGAACAGAAGTCTTGATAAGCGTAGAAAGTATATTCTACAAATACCCAGCAAGCACAATACAATCAAGCACACAAATCTCGTTTATTTATGCATCATAGAAACGTACTTGGGACAGTTACGACAACAGCACACTAAAATACACTGCAGCCAATCACAGCCATGGATTTTCCTAATGGGAAATGAAATCTCAAGGTCAACTGATCAACCCATGCTGGCAAACGTGAAATCCAATATAAGGCATTTATGAAGCGAGTTCTGGGGATCTAACAGCCCAAACACCATCCACCTGAGCTACATATTTTCTCCATCGGCACTGCTGTCTATTATTCAATCTCCATATGGTATTTGTTCGTAATGAAATAAATTTGTCATACGAATTATCAAATTACATCGTTTACAAACTGGATTACTGAGAACACTTCCATAGAGAGGAAATAACACGGAATAAACTTACAAAACTGTGATTGACTTCAGTTTCAGTTCAGAAAATGAACAATTTCGCATCGTTTTTTTTTTTCAATTTGCCAAAAAGATATTTTCTATGAAAATGACCTTGAGGCACTTTTAGTCTGCTTAATTTTCAGTTAAATTAATGGATAAAATTCTTTAGAAAAAAGTAGAAAAACACACTAATCGTATCATAAATAAAGTGAACAAAAAGTGTAATCTGATAAACTCGTAATACATTAAATAGCTTTTTAATGTACACATAAAAAGGAACAAAAGTATACCCTGATAATCGTTAACTTAATATTAAAGAAAGCTTTCCATGAGAATAACCATTAATTATCATGGTCAACCTAGAAAAAAAACTTCATACTACTTGTGGGCAAGAAGTTATCTAAAAACCCTTTTATGTCATTATGCCATTCAGTAATTGAATTCTATAGTAGAAGCTCCAGTCAAATCATACCAGTTTATACAATATCATTCATTGTTACAATTTCACGCCATAGTATCAAACTATTTAAGAAGTAGGATTTCAGTTCTTGAAATATGATATAATTTCATTTTATTCGCTCTCTATTCTAGTCAAACAATTGAACATAATCTTGGATGAATGAAAAAATTGCTTCAGTCTATTTGGTGTATACTTGTCATTCTGATTTCACACATAATGGTTTTACATGGCAGTCATTTGAATATTGATCTGAAATGATTAGACGGTGTTATAAATTTTGTAATACGATAAACAGTTCAATACACTTGCAATTAAATGATATTTTCTCTTGTTTAGCCTGGTGATTCACCTAGTGGATGGTCATGTCTTACTGGTTGCCGATTCTTAGATGCAGCATTGAAGAAACGATCTGGTGATTGTCCTGAACAGATTGGGCTGGCGATTCATCGCATACCAAGTTTAGTATCTGTTAAAAATGATGTTCAGAATTTTCCGTCACATGAGTCTCGCGATTCATCACAGTTGGATTTAGATAAACACATCTCCTTAACTGAAAGTAATAGCGGTTTACGAACCAATATGCCAGAGAATTCTTGGTTTGCTCAGCATGGCAAAGAACTTAATGAAATAAACAGCTGTACAGTTGATGGTGAGTGCCCACAAAAGCAAGATAAATGCTGCCAGTCACAATGCAAACCAGCTGTATTTAATAAAGGTAATTTGATTTTGAAAAATTCCATTAAAATGATAACCTGGAAAATTATTTATGCACACCTTGAAGTTGTATTTCAGTTTTAAGGGTTTGAATATTCCTGATCACTGCAATTAAGTTTTCACACATGAGTTACAAATTGCCTTAAGATATGAAGTTTCGGCAACCTGAGGAAAATATATACTTCAAAAGATCAGTCAAAGTTATTGTACGTTTAAACATTTTGATAACAATAAAAAAAAACGATGAAATGTGATCTGAAACTACATTAGGACAGGTTGATCGTCGTTTCGAAAATGTATTTAATTCTCCTTTTTAGAAATAAGTAGAACTACGAAACGAAGGCCATATGGTTTTGTACATAAGTCAGCATAACTAATAACAATAGATCACTCTCAAAGTATTTATCAAAGTCACTGACATGAAATCTTGCTCTAAGTTTCATAATGATATTTAAACAAATAACATTCCTTTTTTTAGTTTGATACGTTTATCACGTTATTGCGAGACACGTAGAAGACTTGTTTTAGTGTAGCGCGTGTTATCAGCAGTCACCTAACAGCGTATCAGATCTAAAATTGCAACACACAGAGTTAGCCTAACACCTCACACCAAGAGAGAACACGAAGTACGGCCACGGCACTCTTTTTTATTTGAAAATTAAAATAAACGAGGTTTTCACAGAAAAAGGGTGGCTAGTGTACCAAAGTTTTATGAGTCATCCTGTAAGTTCAGAGAACTCAGGGCCTGTTCTTCAGCTTCCAAAGCGTTTATGTTTGATCGCCCTGAAATAGAAAGAAAACAGAACAGGTTAGCAATATCGTACATGGTGATTTTGACTCCGTTACATTAGAAACAATTAATGCCACTTTTATGTTTTGTACTTGATGTAACGCCAAACCACTGTACTGATGACACAGCGAACGTTAGACCCCTCCGTTCAAAAATAAGAAGACGGAAGACGTTGGAGAACGCTTATTAACAGAATCAAAAATGTACAATCAAACATGCGTATTTATACAATTATATAAATGCCGTTAAATATTTTGAACATGAATCAAATAGTTCATCATGAACATTAATCAAATAGTTCATCAATCCAATGTGCGTGGCTTTCTTCTCGATTGGCTCTCCCAACAGCCACTTTAAGATTATATCTGAAGCTCCATTTGTACATAGTAGTTTAGACAGAAATAAGAAAAATTTAATCAAAAACAATAAGCCTTAATTCATTTGCATAAGATACACAACGCATCCACCCAGAAGTAATTACAAGACGTTGATTAAATAGAGTTGGCGATTTTTTTTGGCTAGGAGTGTGATTTAATACATCCAACACTTATATAACTTTAACTGATTTGTAAACTTAATGTAAGCGCATTAAATCTGACTGAGTAAAATTACGAACAAATATTAAATTCAGAAAAATCAATTATATCAGTTGATGCATGTATATCTTGGTAAGACAAAATAAACTAAACTTGAATAGTTTTACGTTTCCAATTAAATGTTAATCAAATAACTGAGATTGGTGAGTATACCTTTATTATCATGTTTTAATTGTTAACAAAACTATGTATATTTTTGAGAGTTTTATACTCCATTCATTCAAATCGGCTTACAATAGTCGATATTTTATATGGTTGGTCTAAATGAGGATTAGAAATTTTAACATTGTTTTGTATTTATTGTAAAACTCAAGTTTTTAGTAAATTGAGTATACTGTTTACCTATTATTATGTTCTTAACTTTCACAGCAATCCTGCCACCAATTCCAACAATAAGGATTTTAGAAGAAAAACACCCACCATCGTTTCTTGTTTCTTGGGATAATAATGAAATGGGTGTCAGTAATCTTAGTCTGCCAACGGTGTACATACTGCAAGTTAAATCTTATTTTGGTCCGGAATATGATAGTCGTATGTCAAGTCCCTGGAAAACATTAGTTGTGGTGAGTGAATGTTTTTTTACAGTTGAATATTTTTAAAACGCGGTGAAAGGTATAGGTCACTGATATTATACGATTTTGAAAGAACCATGATACATCTTCCTAAATCTTCGCCTCTGGATGAACAAGAGCTCAAACTTTTGGGCATTTCCTGTTACATCTTTTAAAGACTAAAAATCCGTTTTCCTTAAAAATTACCGTTCCATTCACTATCAGATATTTTAAAATATTCAGTAAAACATTAGTAACTTTATTTT